TGCTTGCTGTAACTTGCAAGCGGAAGGAAGATTTACGTCTGGAACAAAATCCTTATCGTCAATGTCTTCTAAAACCAACTCAGCGTCGACTTTAGACGAGCTGTCCTGGTTCAGATTACAGTTTCCTGTTGTATTAACCAATTCCGTAGTTAAACTCGCTTCAAACTCAATTGCTTTTCCAACCACTGCGAGGTCTTGTAAGCAATCCATGTTACTATCATTGCTTGAGTAGAAGTGTTCACGTTCGGCTGCAGAAGTACCAGGTAATCCGCTTACAGAATAATGTTCATACTCCTGACTTGTACCAGATAAACTGCTCAATGTTTCCGAGTCACGCCGACTTTCAACGTTTAGTCCTTTCTGTAGACTTTTACAGTGTAGTTTCTCGTCAAAACTGCTTTCATTTTTCATGCCAAAGTTGTTCTTTCCTTCAATAGCAATTCCAACTTGTGCATAATTTTTCCCCTTGTCGCTGTTTTCTTTCATGTTATAGCTAAGTTCATTCTTTGCAAAGTTTTTTACTTCGACATTACTCGCTCTTTCGCTACGAATTCCAAGTGCACTCTTTGCATAATTTCGTTCCTTGGTGTTAATTTTCCCTTTCATATTACTCGCCGAGTTCTTCCTTTGCTTGTGGACCTCGCACGCAAGGGCCGTCGTCCGCTTCTCATCTTCCATAGCTTTCTGAGCCGCGCGTGGAACACGCACCAGAAACCATCCCTCGGGTTTGCGGTACCGCGCGGACGGATCCTCGACAATCCTATCCATACATGTTAAACGTACTTCCAAGAACTTCGTACGCATGTCCCAATGATGCCGACTGTCGAACATGTTTCCCCGTGTTGAAAAGAAACCAACAAACTCGATGGTGTTCTTCCACTCGCGCATCGTTTCAAATCTCTCGGCAAGCATGGCCATTCCAGGAAACACGCGTTCTGGAGAGTGTTCTTCTAACGTCGGCGATAGTGGACGGACTACGCCAGAATGTAAGACAGTTCCAAGGTAGAAACGTGGTTTTGGAAATTGCCACTTGTCCTCGACATCACTTCTCAATTCTAAATCTCCACAGTCTCCACTCATTTCCGTTGTAGTATCAACCAAATCACGATATATTTCAAATAAAATTCTCTCTGTAGTAGTACACCTCCGCGCGCTTTGAAAGCAAATGCAATTATGATTGATTAGCTTGCGCGCTCTTTGTTACATCACCTAATTTGCGCGCAACGTCATTAGATGCTTGTTACATCACGTAATTAGAGGCGACGTCTTAATTGACACGACATCTTAATTGATTGACAATCAGCCTGCGTAATTAGTCTGCGCAATTAGCCTTTCCCAAGCTCGGTTTTATCCGCCATTTTTGCGGTACGTTTTGCGTTACCATGAAGTCTGACTGTCCGAGACTGCGCGCACCACGGAATGAGACTTTAATACTACAGTAGTTGTGTATTATGAAATAGTAAATTTACAGTTACATCTTTGAAAAGTCGCTTTTCGCATTGCTTCGATTGTCTAGATTCTCTGACGTGGATAAACAGTACCCCAAGGCACAGATTATAGATCATATAGTATGATCTATCATCTGTGCCCAAGGCTAATTGATAAAGCATTAGCCAGCATAGGAAAAGGCCTATTAATTTTTGCTGCATTAATCGCGCCTTTAATGCGTGTTACATATAGTTTATTTTCGATGGTCAAAAAGATAAAATCAGTACAAAGATTTGCACTATAAATATGAACGTTCATCTTGTAAAAACATGTATCTTTACGCATTGGATATTAATTAATACATCTATCCGACATGTATTCGTGCATTTTCAATCTTGTTGAATTATACATATAAACTTGATAATTTCTTAAAACATTTACAGTATCTGCCATATACCCTTGCGTGCATTTAATTATTTTTGATGTGCGCGAAAGCCAAAAACAGCGTGTGAATTTGTATACTAGTATAGTGTTTGCCGGGCTAGCCCACCTCATGTAAAACAAATAACAACTTGGCCAGGTCATATGAATAGGCCCTTACCGTACCTTTACCGACGCCCAGTCTGACAAGCGAAGCAAAAACTTGGTAGCCAGTTTCTCTAACAAATCTGTTGGTATGATCCAGTGCTTGAAACAACAGCTTGAGTAGTTCCTTGGTGATATATTTACTGAACGAAGGCCCACATCCCTCAATAACATGTTGCAAACATCTAATAACAGAAATATCAATAATTTTTTATTAACTGAATTCACAAACCAAATTCACAAACTATATAATTTTATAACATATTTTACACTTTAATCTCTTTAGATACTACCTTTTGTGTGTGTTGTTGGCAGGGGCATAGGAAGCATCAAAACAAAAGCACCCCATTTCCAGGGGCACTTTTGGATATTGAAAAGGGCCCTAAAAAATTTTTCCTGGAATTTTTTCCAGGAGAATTTTTTCCGGGAGGAAGAAAAATTTCCAAACAAAAAGGGCACCTTAGACTTGCCACAAGTCGACCTCGAACAAAACATGGTCAACTTGTGGCAAGTCTAAGGGCATCTTTGATTTAGTATTTACAGCGACATTAGCTTGTACAAAAAGAGCACTTTTCATCACAAAAAAGGGCACTTTTGGTTCTTTGAAAAAATTTGGAGGGGGCATGTGCCCCCTGTGCTCCCCGGTTCCTACGCCCCTGTGTGTTGGTGTTATGTACTCAGGTGAATATATATTACGCATCCACACCGGGCAAGCTGAAAAGATTGAGATATATCGAATTCTATAAAGTAGTTTTTACCTCATGCTAGTTTCAAGATGTCGCCATCCAGCCGATTCGTGCACAATTTGTATAGAATTCTTCTTTCCTAACTAAAGGTATAATTTATGTGTTTACGATATGCATTTTTGCCTTCCATCATCATATTAGCAATTTTGTAACCTACATACACCAAAGAAACAAACAAACAAAAGAGATAGGCTGGGCTGTATTTTAACTTCATTGTTGAGTGTCAGAAAACCTTACATCAACTGCAATCGCATCGTCAGTGAATGCTTGCCCCTCTGACATAGTATCTCCAGGAATATGTCTTTCCAAATTTGCCTCGACACTCTTCAGTAACTCAGTACGACATTTCTCATACACAATTGCGCCAATTTCCCGACAGAGAACACCTAAAACTTCACCTTAAAACATATAAAAAACAATGATTCAGCATTACCCTTCGAGTTTCATTGCACCCTAATGCACCATACTTTATTATTTTACCCTGTGTAATGTCATCTGGATGATTTTACTCATCAGGGGGAGAGCATTGCTATTCATTGTCTTAAATCTTGTTCTTCAAATGTCAATGCACAACCTCTTGCTCTAATGCACCCTAGTTTATGATTTTATGCTATATTCTAATGCCATTGACAATCACAGTTTCAAGGTATCGTGTATCCGGATGTCAGAATGGGGTAGGGGGTTGACTTCCAAATTTCTTTGTGGGAGAGGTATGGATGTATTCTAGAATAACCCAATAGATAAGGAATTGTCAATACTGTGTATTTCCTCAACATGCCCTTGGTGATATGGTGGTACAGCATCGGGCTAGTATGCTTGTGGGTTCAAGTTCGATTCCCAGTGAAGATATGCATAATTCTAATCTATTCACTTCAGAACTTGTATTAAGCCCTAAAACATTTTTAAATACTTTATTTTTATCAGGATTATTAAATATTAAAACCTTATTTTTAAATATTAAATTTTTTAAACACATCAGGGTTAGGGTTAAGAACTTATTGTATGATTTGTTGTGATTTTATGTGTACAATTTGTATTCTGGCATGTGTAATTGAGTACGCACATTTAAAGTGGTTGCATTTTAAATTTTGCCATAAACGAAATGAAGAGGAATTGTCATCACAGTAATTTTCATATGCCAGAATATGAATCACACAGGACATAATGTAACCATTCCTTTCGGATCAGGCTATGCGGGCAAGAACTAACTTTCGCAAAGTTAGAGGCCATGTCCATATTCTGATTCATGTTGCCACAAATAACATCGAATCAATGTTATTACTTCACCCACCCACCCACTCCAGATAACGTTGATTGATATTCAGTCGTATTTTGACGGCATGTAGTAAAACACTGACTACCGGAACACCACCGGAACACCCCCTAACCCCAACCCTAACCCCAAACAAAATGGTGGTGTTCCGGTGGTGTTCCGGTAGTCAGTGTTTTACTACATGCCATATTTTGACTTTCATATTTATAATACAAAAGCTGTACTGTGATAGTTACTTTGGACATTAATTGTCAAATTGCCACAAGATAACGTTGACAAGAAAATACACATAAAAACCCACCCACTCATAATGTTGATTCAACATTATTTGTGGCAACATGAATATGAATGTGGCACAATATAACTGAACTGCAAGTATAGGTCACAGAATGCCTGGGATAAATTGAGTACCAACAAAGCCAGGCTGGTGAAGAGTGCGCAAATATGACCAAAAATGACGTAATTTATACCAGCAGTCTGACGCACTCTAGCCTCGTTATCATGCGTCAAAGCCATCGCGCGCATTCGGACGATTTCAACAAAATTTTCATCAGTCAGCTTGCTGGAAACGATCAACTTTGCAGCTAGCAATCCTCCTTGACGAGCCTCCCATGTTGACGTTGTCGAGGGCTCTATATAGCCAAGTATTTTAGCACGTAAATTTACAATTATGTCATCTGTTTGTTGCTCTTGTTTCATGTCCTGTAAATTCCGTTTTAAAAGGTCTAAACCACGATCGCGTTCCAGTTTCAAATGGCTGTGAAGTAGGGTTAATGCTTCCTCGAAATCCACAGTCATTGTTGATGTTTCAAGAAAAATATTGACGTTTTTATGCTGTATATTATTTTTTATTGTGACCTTTTATTTTTACGATCTTTTAATTTATACAATTAACGAAGTTTTGCCGAAGTGCTTCCGATGTTCTTCCGATGACGGCTCAAATTACTTTACAACCCCCCTGAATAGTCAAACCAGGGGGGTGCTCACATAGTGTTCAATTTGAAGAACGTTTTTGAGTCAGAAAATGATGTAATTAGGCTAGAACTTGTTTGCAAAAGCAGAGTGGCTTCCCAGCAATACATAAAATTGTCCTAAATCGATAAACACCAAAATACGTATTTTTTTGTACATAAAAAGAGGATAAATTCAAGTCTGTTAGGATGAGTGTGGATTTAGGCGCATGTTACCGTAGGAAACCGGTCAGCGACACGTACTGTGGACTCAATTATTTCTGTGTATATCTAGATAACATCTACGGAAAGAATATTGCTCGGTTACAAAGTTTAGTAAAACAGCAATATTTTAAAGACACTGTACAAGATTGTGGATTTTCATTTGAAATTTTTGATCATTTGGAATTATTTAATGGTAGCTTTATACGATTAAAAGAAAGCTTAGATCTTCTATTTTCTCTGGATGGATTCAATAAAGAAATTCAAAGTTCCTAACAAAGATCCCTGGGCTAGATTCGAGGCATGGAGAAGTCATCCATATTATTGCTCTAGAGCGAATTTTCGTTACTTTTTTCCTGGTTTTACGTGGGGAGTTGGAGCTTTCCTTGTCGCCTGTGTTGTAGAGAAGATATTTGCTAAGCCAGATGAACATCATGGGCATGGTGAACATGCGAAATAATGAGTTTTAAAGGGACGAAACATTTAGTATCCAAAAATATGATACATGTACATAAAATTAACTTTTGTCATCTATTAAATTAATGGAACTATTTTACGAAGTTTTTGAACTCTCGTGTATTGTGGATTATTGGCTGTTTTGTGGAACAACTCGGGTGAAATCATGAACATATAAATATGGACAGATTTATTCACACTATGTTACTGGAAACTTTACGCATTTCTTCAAAAAATTTATTTTGCTAAGCTGTTCAAATAAATGTTTATTTCTCATTTTTTATTTGTATTAGAGGAAGCGAATACACAGACATTCCAACCTCCGAGTCCTCTAAACCGGGACACTTCCCAATTTTCCAATTTTACTTAAATAAACGCCTCCCTCGAATAAACGCCTCTCTCGAATGAATGCCACGCTTTTCTCATTGATGTGGTGTCTATTTGGGTTAGTGTTAAAATTGCCTGAGTTGAGTTTGAATTAAACAATAAAATCACAGTAGATGCTACAAAAACTAGTTTTATTACACTAACGTTGAAAGCCATACCAAATGAATTTCATTAATATTTGTCACATGAGCCTTATTTGAAGAATACGACTATTAAAATACTACAGAAACCGGGACAGTCCCGGGGAAAACCGGGATGGTTGGAATGTTTGAATACAGGTTCCTAACATGTGAATGTTATTCAGCTTCCTCAATGTGAATGTTATTTACCATTATTTTCCTCGTTCTTCAAACATGCTAAAATGATCAGTGCACCTAAGATTTCGAAAATTTAATAGTAAATATATAGAAAGCATCAAAATTGTACACCCGATATCTCGATCGGTTGTGCAATACAAACTTTCAATACAGGCTTTCCTATAGGTTAGAATCTGACCAGGATTCACAGATTTTCAATGATTTCCTGTGAACAGGTGTTTTTGGCTAATTTTATTGGGAGGCTTGTCGAAGTATTCTATTATGGACAGTTTCCAATTTCCTGACATACTGTACAATGCTATATTAAACAAACACCTCTCTAATACAGCTACGTATGTCTTTGCTGTGTCCAATAATGGTATCCATACAAAGAATATTGTCAAAGCCTTGATATGCATAAACTTCAGTGTAAATTGAGTGGAAGCACTCTCCCCTTGATGAGAAAATCTTATCTGGCATTAAAGTTGGGTGCATTGCCACACAAAAGGGTTAACAGGATGCATGGGCAAGTAGTCTGATTAACCCGTAACCCATTGATGTCAGCACTCTCCAGACCTCTCAACTCTCACGCATTCGGCGTGAGTCTCACGCAATTCGCTTCAGTCTCACGCTCTCACGCCAGACCTCTCAATTCTCACGCATTCGGCGTGAGTCTCACGCAATTCGCTTCAGTCTCACGCTCTCTCTCACGCCACGTTTAGTAAATCTAACGCATAAAAATTTTGGCACATCCGCATAGGCGTACCGGGCGAGTTTTTTGGGCAGTCGGGCAATATTCGATCAACAGTCGGGCAATTTTGGGTTGCAATAAAAGAAATGTGACAAATTCTGTAAATTTTGTCTAAACTTAATTCAATTTTTTGGCAAATTTTGTGATTTTTCGAAAATTTTGTGTATGTTCCGAAAAATATTGGTTGTCCAGAAATTTTTTTTGACCCCTAAAATGGTACACTG